GAGAGCAGATGGAGTCTCCGTGCTGGGTGGTCCCACTCAGGCAGATTCTAGGAAGGCAAGTGACAGTGACAGAAAGCAGGTGGCAAACCTGGGACACGGCAGAGTTGGAGGACCACAGGGAAGCACTGGGGGGTCCAACTGCCCTGTGTGGTGACCATGAGGGCGCTCGACCTGAACACTTGACCTTGCACCTGCACGTAATGCCTCAGTAAGGAAAGACCCAAAACGCAAAGGGAGGAGGAAGCAGCCTTGCAGGCCTGGCGCTGGACGCTGGCGAAGGCCCTGCTCCTCGCGCAGGCCCGCCCCGCCCCACCCCAAAGCTCTGACAGCCAGGCTTGCCCAGGCACAGGATGAACACCTGTGGCCACCGGACAGCGGAGGGGAAATGGCTGCGGAGGACGGAGAGCCTCGGGGGACAGGAAGGCTCTCTCGGGTGGTGATGGTGCCCCTGGAGACTCGCGTGGGTGTTCTGCCGCAGGTGAATCATTGCTCACCCAAACTGGCTCAAGTAGAAATCTCTGGGTGTTCAGGGGCTTGGAGAGTAGACAGGAATCTGCGTGGACATGCTCAGCCCTGGACCTCCCCCAGCAGAAGCCAAGGACAGGGTGGACAGGGCAATTCTGGGAGGCCACCAGTGGGGGCTCCCAGTGAAGACCACAGGACAGTGCTTGGGGTGTCCAGGGACCCATAGGACAGCCACTTTATGCTTGGTAGGACAGACACACAGGGACTGGCACCTCCCCTGCCTGGCCAGAGCTGCCCACTCGGTGGTCATTTAAAAGGAAGATGCACTTAAAAGCTGCCCATCTGTGCCAAGGGTTCTTGGCCTCACCCCAGCCATGCAGGATCCAAAGCACCCTGCTCCCTGGGACAGGGAGATGCCAAGGGACTACAGGTCTCACTGAAAAGGGACAGGCAGAGCGGGAATCTGAGCTGCTTCCCTCCAGAGCCAGGGGCCCTGTGATGTCACACTGGGTAGGCAGGTGTACCACCACATGTGTCCAGAGCCTGGACAGTGGCTGAGGCTTCGTGCAGGGCTGATACAGGCCCTGAGTGGTTCTAATTTGCCCTGGGTTCAGGCAGCCCTCACAGGCTGGCCCATGAGGCTGGACACTGGGCTCAGCCATGGACACCAATTTGCTGTCCCACAGAATGGTATGGAGGGGACCGTGTGGAACCCCGCAAGCAGTAGCCCAGGGTGGGGGACCAACAAGCCGCAGCCCCCTTGGGAAGGGGCTGACACCGACGTGTGTGGCTGGCATAAGTACCGAGGCAGGCCTTTGCCTCTGACATCAGAGAGTGACAGCTGCCAGCCACAATTAAACATCTGCCGCCCGGGAGGGCTGGCCCACGTGTGGGCCTGCTGAAGGGCAGAGACGGGGAGGCTGTGAGGGCCCCGAGGGACCCAGGAGGTGGAGAGAGGCTGGGCGGCCAGCCCCAACTCTAGCTAAGGCCAGGATAAGGAGGGCAGGCTGGTGCGGTCGGGCGCGCCCTCCGTGGGCTCCTCCCCATGCCCGGCCTGCGCCTGCTCCTGGCCTCACGGGCCAGGGTGACAACAGCCCCAGCCACGCTCGGTGGCTGCTCAGGGATCTGCATGCTGTCCGTCTTCTCAATGGCAAGGCAGAGGCAAGGCAGCAGCGTGACCTTCTGGCCACCACACTGGCCTGGGAGACCAGGTGGGCCCAAGGAACCTGGGGACAGTTGGAGTCCTCCATCCCCAGCATCCCAAGCTGACCCAGGAGCACAGCCTGGTGGGGAGAGCCAGCGCTCCTGGGTTAGCCATGGGATATGCAACACCTACCTGGCCAGAAGCCCTGGAGAGTTCAGGTGACCCTGGCCCTGTGCCCCACCCTCTAGGGAAGGGCGGGTGAGGAGTGGGGTGGCTGTGTGGGCCAGGACCAGGCTCTGCCTGGGCGCTGGGGTTCTAGAGAAGTCGGTCCTGACGTGCTTCACGTCGGACGTCGGGATGGGCGCAGGCAGACTGCGTCTCTAGAAGGGGACCCCGTGTGTGTGTGTGTGTGTGTGTGTGTGCACCCAGGTGTGCTGCACTCTGATTGCTCCCAGCAGCCCAGGGAGCTGTGCTGGGCATAGACACTCCAGCCCTGCAACACGTCCCCCTGCCTGGGGGCTCTGGCCCCTCTGCGCCTTGCTCCTGAATGCCCTGGCCACAGGCTGGAGTGGCAGGTAGACCACAGGGCCAGAGGCAAGTTGCCCTGCCCACTTAGTGATGGCAATCTCCCAGGGGGGTGGAGGGGGATGCTGGCGGGGGGCAGTGGAGAGGGGCCTGGCCAGCACCCGCAGGTGGGGACCCAGCCAGCAAGCATCACGCGTATGGGGGCTCCGGTGTACCCCCCAGCTTCCCAGTGGCATCATTAGTGACATAAATTGAAAAAAACTAATGTCCTTTGAGGACACTAGGTAAATCAAGGGTGTGACTCTACCTGGTGGAGGACAGTATGGGACATGAGAGATGAAGAAGGCAGACACGGGTGCGGCCAGATGCACAGCTGGGCTGGGGTCCCAAGGCAACTGGCTGGCTGTCCCCTCATGACTGTTCATTGCACAGGGCTGCCCGTGCTCTCAGTGGCGGGGATGTGGGCCTCCACAGAATTTCAGGCACACAATGGGCACTGGACCAGAGATCCCTGAGGTTACCCTGACCAACCTCTCCCTGGACAGTGGGAAACTGAGGACAGGGAGAAGGGAAACCTTACGGGGACACTGGGAGCACTCCACGTTCCACCAGCTCAGTGACGGGAGTGCTGCCCAGCCCTCGGGGGGCCCAGGCAAGGGGCAGCAGACTGCTGGCCCCACAAGCTGTCCCCAGAGGAGGCTGGGCCCAGTGCTGGAAGCCCAGGGCACGGGGCCCGGCTCCCCTGGGGCAGCCCTCCTCTCCTGCCTCCCTATGGCCTCCCTCCCCCAGCACACCCTGATGCCAGCAACGTCACTGCCAATAACCTAGATTTTAACCAAGAAATCTCACACCCCCTTCCTCTGCCCCACTTATGGACCTGCTGAAGAGAAAGCCACAAGAAAACCCAGACTGTGGCTCCGTGAGCCACGCGGGACAGGGCCCCCAGCACACGGCCCCACTGCCAACACCGCCCAGGTCGGGCAGGGCCAGCCAGGCTCCCTCCCCCACCTGTCACCAGCCCCTGCAGGGGTCCCCTGGCCCCAGGGCTCTATGTTCTAACGGAGCACTGGGGGAGCTGGAGAGAGGCCTGGCCTGGGCAGCGGGCCGCTCAGAGCAGCGTGACATCCTGACCCCCACGCTGCACATGCCAGCTCTGGAAGCCTCTTCATGGCCACGTCCCCCGGCTCCTCAGAAAACCCCTGGAGGCAGGGGGGTTGTCCCTGTCCCTGTCCAGTGAGGGCTCTGGCGACCAGGCATAAGGGACAGGGGACTGCACAGGCTGTAGGACCACACCGTGCTCCCAGTCATCCTCACACATACCCATTTCCCACCATCCCAACAAGCCATAGCTAAGGTCACTGCAGGAGGCAAGACTGTGAGGGGACAGGAGAAGACCAGAGACGTGTCCCCAGCTCTGTGGTTCACCACCGGAGAACACCAGTGAGGCCCCCTGCCACCAGGCCCCGGCACCAACGCTCCCCTAACCCATCCACAGGGCTGTGTCCAGCCACCAGCGTGGTGAGTTCTCAGGACCATAGGACACGCCGGTTGGCCGGGATCTACTCTGGGAGTGGATCAGAGTGACAGCCCCATCCTGTGAAAACCCCCAGCCTTGCGGGCCCGGGAGGGGGATCAGGGCCCTTCTGTTCCTTGCGCGGGGGCAGTCAGCGGGCAAAAGAGCACACTGCACACGGGGCAGATTCCCTGAAGTCAGAGGCTGAGCGGGTGCCTGAGTGTGAGGCCCGCACATCCAGGCCAACTCGGGCACTGCTGCGCTTCTTGATTTCAGGAAAAAAAAATCCACCTTGACCCTGCCACAAGAAGAAAACGCATCCGGCCCCGGCCTCAGCAGCCTGAAAGCCACTGTTCTGAAGGACGTGCGCAGGACGACACTTTCACACAGAGACGATGCCACAGGGTCTGGGGCCAGGGCAATGGCTTCCCCTGCAGGCTCCGAGAAGGAGTGGGGTGGCCCCAGCAGAAGCTGAGACCTTGCCACCCAGTCTGCAGCCACAGCTGCTCCAGAGGCAGCTGGCCGTCCCAAGAGCCCGGGCTGGGCACTGCTCCTGACTGCCCCAGCACTGATGGACCCCTCAGGCATGAGACAAGTGGCAAACAGGGTGGAGAGAGTCCCCGTGCTGCCCCTTGGCCCATCCTCCCACTGCAGCACCATGTGCTTGGGTCCAGGCCACCACACCTGGCCCTGCATGCAAATCAGCAAAAGCAGAGACCCAGGCACACTACAGGTTTTCAGGGGACGCCCCAGCCTGGGCCCCCATGGCTGGTCCCTCTGCCTAGCGAGCCCTGTGGTCTCCAGGATGTTCTCCACAAGGCCTGCATCTCAAATTAGGGCATCCTGGGCTTACTGGTCCCAAAAGAGGGAGCATCCCCCCTTAGCAGAAAGAATGAGAAGGCACTCACGCAGCTCTCAGAACTTTCTGGTCTGTCCGCTGGGGCGGGGCCCAGGGAGGTGGGCAATAGATAGGAACCTCGGGATCAGAGGAAGTAAAACCTCACAGAGGACAAAGACACTGAGGTGGAAGGGGAGGGAGGCAGGACTTGTGGGGTACCACACTGGTGCCGGGCACTTCACAGACAGGGACACCAAGGCCTTGAGCTGGCAGCAACTGTTGTGTGAGCCCTCAGGAGGTCACTGGGCCATTGAGACCCTTGGTTTCCTCATCTGTCTAGTGTCAGGACCCTTCCTGCATGTGCCACTGCAGCTCTGGCAGAGGCTTGTGACCTGCCATCTCATCAGCATCGAGCCTGAGCTCCTTGGTGGCAGGGACCCTGTCCACCCACCACTCGGGCCAGCTGCCCTCATCTCCTCCAACCTCTCTCCCCGTGCCTGCAGGCCTGCCGTTACCTGCGTAGCTGCCCGTGGCCTTGATGTACATCTGGCCATACTGCTCCTCCACCATGGTGTCGTAGGCCTCGTCGTCCTCCTCCTCCTCCTCGTTGTGGTAGGAGGTGGGGCTGTCGGTGGTGGGTAGGCTGCTGGCCCCCGGACTGGTCCGCTCCCCCTGGGGGTAGGGCACCTGCTGGATGCTGGGGATGAGGGTGGCCAGGCTGGGCACCCCATAGTAGGAGACTCGGGGCAGCTTGAGAGGGGCCGCGCCAGCCGCCACCGCCACACCGTCCCGGGGCCCCGTCTCCAGCGGGCGCTTGGGAGCTAGGCCTGGGCCTGCAGCTGGCGGCAGCTCCATGGCTTCATGCTTTACACGGGTCAGCAGCGGGATGGGCACAGAGGGGGACACGACGTAGGGGGTGGCGGAGGTGGCAGCAGCCGGCTGCAGCTGGTTGCAGGGACTCTGGGGTTCGGAGCTGGCGTCCTCAATCATGGTGGTCTGCGAGTCGCAGTGGGGCGAGCTCACCTTGAACATGAGGTCTGTGCCGCGCTCCACGATGTGCTGGATCTGCAGGAAGCCGGCTGTGTACATGACCACTAGCTGCTCGCTGGCCGCCATGGTAAGCTTGCCTGTGTAGCAGAAGGATAGGATCTGCTGGAAGCAGGCAGGTGGCACCGTGCCTGGCAGCTCGAACGCACTCTTGCTGTTGCCACTAAACAGGTCGCGGAAGTAGAGGCTGCTGGCGGCCAGCACGGCCCGGTGGGCCTTGAAGGCCTGGCCCTTGACCACGATGGACACATCGCAGTAGAGGCCCAGCAGACGTTGCTCGTTGAGGCAGCCAAGCACAGTGTTCCCGAAGTTGGGGATCTCGATGTGTAGCATCTGAGACATGGTGGACGGTGTGTGGATGGGCCTCAGATTCAGCGCGGGGTGGCCCGAGTGGGGCACATCTGTGGGGGGGACAGCATGGTCAGTTCCCTGTCCTCACAAGTGCTCCCTGTCCTGCCTGCCAAGCACCCACCTGTGTCCCTGACCCCTACAAAGGGCAAAGTACAAATGTGCCCTCCTGGCTGGAGGAACCCCAGAGAAAGGCTCTGGGGGTCTTATGGTCAGGACCCTGGCTGAGGGACAGGGCAATATGATCCACCAGAGCATGGTACACAGGGGCAGCTGCTTACCCACCGGGCAAGGCTGCCCATGGCACCCCCGGACTACTCCATGAGACCCCCCAGGGCAGAGCTTCAGATGCCAGTCTTTGCAGAAAACACAGGGCAGAGGCTGAACCCAGGGAGAGCACAGGACAGGACTGGGCTGGTTGGGACAGGCCAGTCACCCTTGGAGGGCTGGGGGAGGGGAGAGGGCCAGTCTGTGAGAGTTGCAGCAACTAGCAACTAGCGGTTTCAGGGAAAAAGTTCCCTGCTGACAAGGAGCCCCTCCCTGCGACCTGGGGAGGGGCCCATCTCAGAGCCCAGGTCTTTCCAGGCGTCAGTTTCCTGTGGGCCTTTCCCTTTCCCCTCAGAGTAGCCCTGCGCGAACCTTGGGGGAACTGGGTTGGGCAGCTGTCCCCTCTCGGGTTCCTGCCCAGCCCCAAGCCTCCCTGGGATGGTGGGGAGGCGCAGGGGGCGCCCCGGGAAGTGAGCTGAGTTCAGCCAGCTGCACCCCCACTCCTCCCCCACGGAGGGGCCTCTGTCCGAGCAGAAGGACTCTGGTGTGCCCGTCCTCCCGGGCAGCCCCCAGCAGGCGCGGACCCTGACCCAGGTCCCCAAGCGCAGCGGCGGGCGGTCTGGAACGCGCAGCCGGGAGCTGGAGTTGGAGCTGCCGCAGCCCGCTCACCGGCGCCCTCCCTCCCGGCCCGCTTCCAGCGCTGGCCAATCCCTGCTGGCTGGTCCCAGCCCAGGTAACCGGAGGGGTCTCGAGGGTGAGGGGGCTGGGCAGGCGGGGGCCACAGCCACTGTTTACCGGGCGCCTCCGCGAGGGGGGCGGGGGTGGCCGGAGAAGGCGCCGGCCCAACTCCAGGGCCACACAAAGGGCCGCTGTGTCCCGCGGAGGAAAGTGCAGCGGCCGCAGAGGCGCCGGGCGCCGGGAGGAGGGCGGAGCCACCCGCGCCAGGAGTTGGGCAGGTGGGCGCCGCCGGAGGCCCGCAGTGCCCCCGCTGCGGAGAAGTTGCCGGCGCGGCCCGGGGCACCCGCGGCGGGGACCTACCTTCAGCCGCTGCGGCCGCGGCCGACGCTGCCCGCTCAGCCCGGCAGGGCAGGCTCCCCGCTCGCCCGCCCGCCCGCCCGCCCGCTGCTCCGAGAATGCAGCAAACGGAGCCGGAGCCCCGGGTGGGGAGGGCGGGAGCCGGGAGGGGGGGCCGGCCGGGCGCGGGGCTCGGCGGCCGCAGCTCAGCTGCACCCAGGCCGGCCCTCCCGGGCAGCGCGCAGCATCTCAATGAAGCGGCCGGATGCAGACGAACATTCAGGCAGCTCTCAGGAATGAATAGCCGCCTTTGATTTGGGAGCTGAAGTAAATGCCAGCTCCCAGCCCCGGCTTTAAAAACAGTGGCGCGTTGGTGCCAGAGGAATGCACGGCTCCGGGTGTTGGTGCAAGACAGACTTTTGATGACTCACTGCAATGCAAACAAAGATGGCAGAAATACTGTACTGTACGTGGAGAAATGCTTGGTGGTGCCACGGCAACTGAGACAGCCTGGAAATTTATAGTGCAGTTTTGCATATGAATTACCCAGTAAACTGCCTCCCTGCCATCCAGTACAGCCCCAGTGTCAAAGCATTTAAACTATTCCAAACAGTCTGCAGGGCTGGCACAGCCGCAGCTTAACTCTTCCAGGGCAGGCTGGTGGCTGGGTGGGGGGCTGGGCAGGGGCTGGGGGCTGGATGGGCTAGGGGACAGCTGGGTGAGGAAGGGGAGCAAGCTTGGAGGGAGGAGGGAGGAGGGGAAAAAAGCAGTGGCCCGGGAGAGACACAGACCAGGGCCCTTGGCTCCACCTCCTCCCCCTCTCCTTGGGGCCTCATAACCATGTCCCCTGTGTGGCCAATGGGTCCCAAAGCAGCAGACCCAGCCAGTCCTGTCCCAGAACCCTCTCACCCCACTCTTCTCATCCCTTCCCGGACCTTTAAGAACAACTTTGTGGCCAGGCGGCTCTGCTCCTGCCCACAGTGGCAGTGGGCACCTGCTCCTCTGTACACCCGGTGGTGGCTACAGGGTCTCCCTGCACACCCAGTAGTGAAGTCTAACTGTGCAGTGCCGGGGGTCCTCAGCTGTGCATCCCTGGGGGGACTTTCTGGGGATGGGCAGCTGTGCAGTGCTAGTGCAAAAGGAGGCACCTCCTTCCTGGCTCACAACACCTGCTAAACCTTGAGGACCCTGGGGCACACCATTCGAGAGCCACCTAGGTTACCCGCCTGTCACCAACAGTGTTCCCCAGCAAGAACATATTCTACCAGCAAGAAGACAGACTGGAGTGGGAGGTGGTGAGGTCTGTGGCACTCCAGCCGAGATTCTGCCACCTGCCACTGGCACCCTTGAAACCACAGCAGGAAGTAGGCCTGGTGGAGGCGGCCACACCACCCAGCCCCTCAGCCCAGCATACCCTCCAAGCCATCCCAAGATGAAAGGAGGAGACACCTGCATCTCCCTGTCTACACACTGTGGGCTCCACTTCCAAACACCAGACGAAAAGCCGGCACAGGGGAAGAGGAAATGCAGTGGGGAAGTCACCCGCGGGCCATGCAGAGGGCCTCTGAGGTGGATTTGTGCCTGGTCTTCTTTGCCTTCTACAGAGATTAGAGATTAATGACAACTCTTAGGGTGACTGTGAGAGGCACTGGGATGGTTGCAGGATGGCTCAGCTGCACGAAGAGCTGGGCTCCTGAGGCAAGGAGGCCTAGGGCTCAGTCCTGTCTCCCTAGAGGCCACACCTCTGCCCTCGGGTTGCAGCTGTCGCTGCTTCCTCCAGGAAATCCATCAGGTACCTGCCTCAGAAGGCCCACAAGGGCAGGGCCAGGTGTGCCCAGGGCCTGGTGGGTAGTGAACTGGTTGCTTACTGCTGGATGGAGACTCTGCTGCCCAGCAACCCACAGCATGAAGGGAAGGGCCCCACAGGCTCCCTTCACAGAGGCCTGGGCACCCCTCACCAGGGCCTCCCGGTCAGCCTCTGCTTCTGTGCAGGCAACCTCAGCCAAGGGCAGTGAGGCAGGGCCACCTGAGCCAGCAGGGCTCTCCTGCCAGGAGAGGTGGCCTAGCCTGGCCACAGGTAGGCAGAGGCCAGCACCTTGTACACTGGCTCCAGAGGGTCCTGATGCAGCCAGGTGCAACACAGCAGGGAGCAGAGCGTGCTCCTGGGCCTGTCCCTTCCAACAGATCAGGCCCTGGCCTTTCAGCCAGGTTGAAAGCCCAGGTCCTGCTGGCACCAGGCCCAGTGTCCTTCCCATGACACTGCAGTCTCAGGTGCCAATTGTGAACCCAGGGTCAGGGTGGACCCTGGGACAGCCACTGAGGACAGAAAGAGGCCACCTTCGTAAAGCCTTCAGCTTGAGCACAAGGCATGCTGGCAATACCCATGACTCGCCGTGACCTGGGCAGGTGGGCACCTGCATCCACGCCTCAGGGCCTAAGCCAGAGAAGGGGCCATTACACCCCCAGAAAATGATCCCTGGGGACTGAGGACAACTGGCGCTTGTGCTTCCCTGTCCTCAGGCCACCTGTCCTGGCAAGGCTGCTGCCCACACCTGGCCCGCGAGAACCGGATAGAAGCTGGTTTTAGGTTGCTTTCTTAGAAGCCTTGCCTGGGGCAAGAACAAAGCTGAACTTTAGGAGGAAAGAATAAAATAAAGGCTTGGTGGACACTCTCGGGGACTGAAAGCAGGACAAGCCAAGGGCTGCCCCTCAAGCTGTAGCTGGAGAGGAAAGGGCCTCTGTCTAAACAGGCCATGGGCTGCAGCACAGCTGCCCAGGGGAGGGACCGGGCCTGGGTCTCGGAACACAAGGGCCACCTCACCACTCCCCACACAGCAGTGGTCAGTATGCTCTGTGACCTCTCCCTCTGTGACTCAGTTTCCCCATCCCTTTGCTGCCCAGGCAAGGCTACCGAGCCTGTTTCCCCTGCGTGCCCTTTGCTCACAGAAACTTCTCAAGAGTTGAGCAGAAAGTGCACCAGCCACCTCCCCAGCAGGGTGCCTTTCAGAATGGAAACCGCTTGGGAAACCCATGAAAATAACCTAAAGCCCAGGTCCAGGCCCCACTACGGAGCCTGCCTGTGCCCTCACCCCACACGGACACATACAGAAGGCTCCTCTGGGCCCACAGACCCCTCCCAGAGGGAGAGAAGATGGTTGGGACGAGGGGAGGGGGGTCTTCCCTGCAGGCACTTCTCCAGATGAGGTGGGATCAGGCAGCCCCCAAAGGCAGTGTGACCACAGAAGGACCACAGAAGAAGGGTGGGTACAGGAGCAAGAGGTGGACACACACAGGAGCTGGCCGGTGTCTGACAGAAAGGACACCCCTGCCAGAGTCTGGTCCCAGGAGGGATTCAAATAAGGACACCAAGTCCCAGGAGGGGGCCAAGCCAAGGCTGGCCACATGGGACTCCAGGTGCGACTAGGGACAGGTGCTCCAGCAGACACAAGACCACCCAAGAGCATCTCCCAGGCCAGGGTGTAGGGACAGGGACAGAACGGCCGACCTGGAGGGCCACCTTCTTGGAGGGACGTGCACTTGGCTTCTGCAGGATCACTACCAGCAGGGAAAGCAAGTCGAGATGATCAATTAAATTACATTACTTTGCAGGATTTAATTTTACCAACTAGTAAGAGGTCCTGGCCTCAGCAGACACGCAGCCCTCTGCAGTCGAGGAAGGAGGGGCGGGAGGCACTGTGAGTGCCTGTGGAGAAGAGGGAGCCCTGCCCCATCTATTCCAGTTAGAAACCCCTCCCCAGGAAGCCCT